TTACTGGCTTCGTCTAATGCATCGGAATAGAGATTGAGCCGATCAGGTTGCTTGTCGATTACGTTAGCTACTTAGTTAGCCTTTCGGATACATAAAGTCCGAAATGTTTATCGTCTGCGTGGTTTTGCAGATTGTATTTAGTTCGAAGTCGGACCTACCACTTTTGTGGTGATGGGATGATATTATCAAGGAGGTTGTCGAAATTGGATCGTATAGCCAAAAACTACATTTTTAGTCGATTGAGTAAGCTACATTGAGTTTGTTCGTAGAAAGTATGAAGTGAGGAATGTTTTTCATCGATGCAGTTTGTTGAGTTAGTTTTGAAGTAGGGCTCAAGGATTTAGTGGCCATATATATGAATCCAGTCGAATCGTATGCTGATTGTTATCGACTCTAAATTTTTCTATCGAATTAATTCATGTTAGGGAATAATGAGAATGAAGTCTGAATACGTACATTTCTTACACACATTGATCTGAACAGATAATCAGAGAAACGAAATGAACGAAACAAATGAAAGTAGCGCTCAGAGGAGATGGCAAGTTAGCCAGCAATTTTCAACCGACCGTGAGTTAATGTTTATAGTCAGACAAAAATAATTGACAGACACGTAATGAATACAGTGAGTAACAAACACACATATGATCATATAAATGCAATCAGGGTTTATAGACTAATAAGTGATAAAGCCAATATGTGGCTTGTGAGGGATGAATAAATTAGTCTTTCCAGAAGCTAGAATAACTTATGTAAACTTGACATAGTACCAGCCATCACACACCTCTTCTTCAATTTGTTACAATTATTTCGCCTTTTAAAAACTTTGTCTCATTCATATTTTTTTAAATAAAGCCATTTTTACCTCATCGCTAGGGATTTCAAACAACGACGGGGTATAGCTTACAACTCCAGGTGGACGTTTTGACACCTATCCACTGTTAATTACTATTCAATGCACCGTAATACAAAATATCCCCAAACTGATAAATTTTGACTCAGAATAGGGATCGTCAGTTTTAGATGTTATCTTTGAACGCTATTATGACGATGTTACTGAGATTCATTACCAACTCCTACTGGTGAATACTGATAACACCGTATTGTGCTTAGGTTTTTGACGCACAGTATACAGTTTGTATCTGCTACAACCAGTCCAAAAACCTGATGAGTGACATCTCAACAATCAGAAGCTGTGCTTTTACGTCGACCTAGTAAGTCAATGTAGAGGAGTTGGTTGAAAATGAATAAAGTGATATATCAACATTAGGAACGGTAACTATACGGTCAACATCTATGTCATAATATCTACAAAGAAATACAAAAGTTGCTGTGGCGTATAAAGTATTTCTAGTATCAATTTTTAACAACAGCTATAAAAAAAATCAAAAATTTTCATAAAATTGATTTCACTAGATTTCGCACTACCTAAAAATACGGTTGGCACACGATTATCGTAACTGCTCAAAACGATAGTTTTCGTGAACCAAGGAAATGTCAAAACATGATGTTTAAATTCATTCATGCCGTTCATGCCATCACCACCCATATATTCAAGTATAAAAAGAGACAGATCGCGTCGAACTACTAGCCAATAAACCAAAATTACGTAGTAGTCAAGGTATCTGAAGAAATAATTCAGGCTGTTATTCATTCTTAAGGAATCATATTGCCTGACAACTCCTGAGCAACAAGAGGTTCGGAACAGACACTTATGCTCAATAAAACAACGACTTGTTATATATGATTGGACAGGGACCAAATGATGAGATTTATCTTTCTATGTGATACGTATAAACTTCAGCAAGACATTTGATAAAGTATCTCACGTACGGCTTACACAGAATCCCTCGAGTTCTCGAATTACAGACACAATAGAAGAGTGGATGGTAATATTCCTTTGTGGATCGATATAGCGAGTTTGGGTGAGTAAGATATTAACTGGTTAACACTGGTATACCTCAGGTCGCAACAGTGACCCATTTTTTCTACTCAATACCAATCGACTACCAAGACTGCTCAACTCTCCAAAACTGTTGTTGGCTGATGATGTCAATATATAGAGAAAAATAAATGGAAAGGCTGATAATCTTGACCTCCAAGCCGACCTAAACGAATTAGATAGATGTCCCCAAAATTTGTGTGAGGATTAATCATAGAAGTAGTACGATAATGCACAGTGGACACCACAAACATCACTATTATACTGGCAGTGGTACATTCTCTCCTCTGATGTGAGAGGAAAAACTTTTTGAGTACTAATAAGTCATGACTTGGAAACAACCAAAAATTACAATGAAGCAGCTACTAACGACTTCTGAGATTCGTGATTACTTTGTAGACGGTTGGAATGAATTGATAAGGACATATTTCGCATTTTACACACCACTTTTATGAGACCTCGCTTGGAAACTTACATCCAAGTATCTATGTCTTATCAAAGATGGTTAGACACTCTATTACGTTCATCGAGTGGGAAGAAGGTTAGTGAAAGGTATTTTCAAACATTCCTACGGTGAATAAATAATATGCTTAAATCTTTTCTCTTATTTTGTTACACAACAAGAGGTGAACTTATATTTGCATCCCTTATTTTGATTATTGATTCGATTGTTAACAAATTTTATATATTTTTATCACTCATTGACATAATCTTTTGGTACCCACTTTTCTCATCGAGTAGTCGACGACTAGAACTCCTTAACTTAACTAAATGTATCACCTCCATAAGAGAACAGTTTGTAGAAGCAGCTTGGTCTCCAATGGAAGACAGTTTGTGAGAATTAACACAGGTCGACCGGTCTATTACTCCTGATGCTGAAGATTGAAACGAACGTCAAAAAATGCTGACAACATATCCCCAGTAACATAAACTGACTTTTTAAAAATGAAGATGGCGACATTGTCAAAATCTCTAACAAATTGATTGCTTTGATGTTTGATTGTTATATACTGGAGTACAAAAGCATTGCACTGTTAATACGTCAATTCTACCATGTCCGAACGAAAAACGAATGAATAGTAATTGCTTGGATTTATTACGGGCTATTATTGCATATATACCCTTCGGACAGTGCATAGGCAACCAGAATACATATATATATATATATATATATATATATATATATATATATATATATATATATTCATATTCCTTTTATTATACGCTTCCATTTGTACTACTGGCTATTGCAACACGATTTATATGTCTTAACTTATCCCTTAATTGATCAGTCACAGTGTTCCATACATACAGTCACTTTTGACATGAACTTGTACAGCTATTATTTTTCACTTTATGGTGTGATATGGTCTGATCGGCTTGCATATAAATCAAGTATGTCTGAAATATACGAATTATACAATTGAGGCTGAGATTGTGTTCTGGATTGGACTGAACTTAACTGGACTGGGTGATAATTTGTTATAAAGAGGATTAATAAGGGCTGAGAGTTTACTCAAGGCAGCTTGTGCTGTTCGATGCATCACTAGTTTAGCACAGGAACGAGGCAACAGAAGTGGATATTTTGTTTGGCGATTTTGTCACGTGAGAATTTACGGTCAATAAGACACAACGAAACCCCTTGATAGTGCTATGAAGTTTAGTGTCATCAGGGCATTTCATATCAAATCATTCTCCATGATCATGGTTACACGTAACTTCGAACTGACCACTATGTCGCTTCTTGCTCAACATAAACAAGTCTCGGAAGTTACAAAACAATAAAGAGTGTGGGTGAGCTCAAAGTTGTTTAGTTGGGAAACTGTGCTTTGCAGAAGGTTGCCGGGTACATTTTCGGGCCAGTAATGTTCCTTCTGTGTGTGAATCATCTTTCCAATATTCTATCACCATCCATTTTGTTGTGTGCTGATGATGTCAAGATATGGAGAGCGACAGAAAGTAAAGATGATAGTTTGGAGCCTCAAAATGGCATGACGAAATCTTCCGAATGACATAAAATTTGGTAGTTATCGATAAATGCTTCCAAGTGCATTATAATGTATACTGGTTATCAACGTAGATATATATACGATGAATAACAGTGAGCTACCTGTTGTCCAGACACAAAATGACTTAAGAGTCATTGTTGGTCAAGACGTCAAAACTGTAGTACAACGTCGTGCGACATGCGCCAAAGATCTTCTAACCCCATTGTCAATACTTAGGGCCTGAATATCCCACAAGTATTTTTAGTTTGAAAACACTTTGACTAGTAACGCCTATAATTGAATCGTGCCTACCCATTGAAATCAAAAGTCAGAAGCGAGGAGGTTCTAAGTTACATTTGATATTTTATCAATATATCGAGAAGTGACTGATCTAAACTGTCTAGAGGTTGCAGGAGAAGTGGAGTACGGCGTTCCCACTCGTGATCTGGTGCAGATGAGTGACCGAGCGCCTTTAGCTAGACGAGTCCATTAAAACCAATGTGCCCAACACCGAATGTCGAAAACTTACAGAGCTATTGATTTTGAGGATTTATTTATCGCTACAGGCCTTAATTATGTCGATGATAAGACCGTTTTGACTTTGTGTACGGTATTGTTCGTCCTAAATTTGAGTACTGAAGAGAAAGGCTAGTTTTTGCCAAAAAAGACGGTGAGCTGTTGGAAAATTTTTATAGAACCGCAACTAAGCTGACTCCCGGAATAGCAAAACTCCCGTATGATATTTGACTGGCTAAACTAAACTAATTTCCATTGTCATATAGAAAAACCAGAGGTGATATGGTCACAGTTTTTAAATTACTCGGTGGTAAATTGAACATGATACGCCCTCATTTTTCTGGTCTTCCAAAACAGAGACATTGTGTTGACATTCCATAAAATTTCACAAGCCCAGAACAAATTACTTGTTAGCTGACCTTCGACTTTCACATCGAATCATCATTACCTCAACATATATGATTAGAGCTCAATCTGTTGACGCTTTCTAAAGAAAGTTGGATGAACTGAGAGACCAACATCGACAGGACCACTCAGATCCCGCCCTTTACAAACTGAAACCGAAACTAGGTTTGGGGAGCGCCGCTCTTAGTCTGTTGCGCAACATTTTCGCTGGGGATGGCGGATGGTGGCAGGAGTTTGGAAGAAGAGAATCGACAGTTAAAGTCTGCCCTAAAAGTGTCTATGCAGGAAAAGTATGAAGCAGCTGAATATGGCCTTACCCTTCTGGAAACAAATCAACAACTCAAAAATCAGCTTGATGAATTGGGCGGAAAGTATGAAGAGTTAGATCGAGAACTAAAAATTACTCGCAAGGTAATATCCTTTAAATTATTAACACACTCTCACCATCAGAGTTTAGAGGAACAAAACCTTATTCAACGTAGACTAAGTATCGCTGGCTTCCAGGAGGAAGATGACTTGGTATCCGAGTCGGCAAACAGAGAACGTGTCTTAAGGAATCAAGTGCATGATTTAGAAGTAGAATTAAAGGAGCTCAGACTTAAGTATGAGCGGCAAATGGCGGAGAATGACACGTTGCACAAAAGGAATATTGAACAGCAGTCGGCTCATGAAGATCTAGAGAAACAGTTTAGGAACCTGAAATCTGATATTAGAGATGCTAAAGCAAAAGAAGTCCAAATCTTAAACGAATATGATGACTTGGAGGCAGAAAATTTAGAGTTACAAAAGACTATACTTTCCTTAAAGACTAGTCAGGTAAGTTCGAAGTGTGCTATATTGGTTATCTCAGGTGGAATTTGAAAGCGTAAGGCATGAATTAAAGCGACTACAAGAGGAAAATGATGTTATACATGTCCAGCTGGAGGAAATAACTCGTTTAAAGCGGATGACCGAAAAGTCCTTGGAAGATGCTTTAGAATCACTTCAGATTGAACGTGACCAACGTCATAATTTACGCAAGGAACTTGACAGCAGAATTATATCAGATTCAATAAGCCACCTCAGCGACTTGCGAAACCTAAACAATTTGGCAAATGTTAGCAAGCTTAGTCAACTTCATGAAAGTAATACTGAATGTCAAAAACTAGGTAAGCATTCATGAGAATTCAGTTGCGGTAGCTTATTATTTTACTCTGTTACTTAATCCGAACGTTCTGTTGTTGATTTAAGTACTATTCAGAAATCTTGTCTATTTATTTAATATTAATTCGTTCTGTAAAGTATACCATTATAACTAGTTTCTTCAGAACAAGATAGTTAGTCTTAATGGCTCTGCTTACCAGCTTTGAACTACTGTATGGGTGTATCACAACATATATCAACTTCAAGTAGAGCATTACGTTTTTCTGGATAATAGAGACAAATTTTCGTGAATGGGATATTTATCAAAACATCATCTATATAAATAAAATCAACTTACCACAAAGTTATGGAGAAACTTATACAAGTATCGGGTATATTTAATATTATTTTCTTAGAAGCTAAGGCTCTTGTTATTAATATCGTAGTCGAGTGTTGGTATTGCGTCGCACTTTCAGTCAAACCAATTGGTAGTTTCACTGTTACCCCCCAACAAAATCTTAGACCAAGCTAAATGTGTAAACGTATCTTTTTGCTGAGTTGATTTTATTATTTTTCTGCATAATTTAATACTTAGATATAGCTTTCAAATCAGTTTGAAAACGTTTAACAGTCATGATTTAATTCTTTCGAAAGGGCATTTTGAATTTTTCAACAAACCACTAACATAAACTCTAATAAAATAATATGCGCTCACTTACCCGACCGAAGCTGCTACCTTGACGCGGTGGTCGGGCTTGCCCATCGTGATAACCCAACCGAGCTATATTGGCTGGAACATATGTTCCTGTAGGTTCTATCATGCCAGGAAGGTCGATTGGAGAACGGCAAAACTAAAAGCAGCAACTCAAGGTCTGAGGGCGAAGTCGTACTGCTGACTGTAGAGGGGTGTGACGGCAGTAAGGTGTTTCCCTCGGACAACCAGCATCTGCAGCGATGCTGCCTTCCCACAAGGAGGGGTGGGGTTAGAAAAGGTCGACCCTAAAAATGTCACACCCCACCTTACCTCGCGGATTTTCGTCTCCGGCGGTAAGGCCCTTTGAAAAACGGAGCTAACTCATTAAAAACCTTCCACAAAAGGGCCGTGCGCGACCGACCCCAAGCAGTTGTCTCTTGGGCTCTGCGGTCACGCTCCCAGGTCGTTAATACCAACACTAATCCGACTTTTTTCAGGTTCCTCAAGAAATACCCTTCCACGGTGTAGGCAGCCGGGAAGTGTTATCAGCCCTCATACCTGTAACAGCGCACGAAACCAAGTTGGTCACATTCAAATCCTTCCTACACCTCCTAATACCTCTTATTTCCATGACTAACCCTCCTCACATTACTTTATCACCTCGCACCGGTAGGGCAAACGATTCGAGTACGCGGAGCGCTATTCCTGATCTTCTGAAACCACGCTCTAAACTACACGTAAGAGCTTTTAACGTCCGAACACTGTGCCAAATAGGACAACAGGCTTCCTTAGCTAGGACTTTAGAATCCCACGCCATCGATGTGTGCTGCATCTCCGAAATGCGCATACAGGATCCGAGTAGCGTCATTCATCTGACCTCACCATGCCAAAATAAAGAACCGACTCGATTCACACTTCGTGTATCTGGAAGCTTTGATTCTGCTTCCCGTGGCCTCGCCGGCGTAGGTATAGCATTGAGTCGTAGGGCAGAACTAGCTCTCTTAGAGTGGATCCCAGTAGACAGTCGTTTGTGCGCTGTCCGACTAAACGGAACAGTAAGGATCCGAAAAGATAGGGACACTCGTCGTTGCCTCTTCGTCGTCTCTGCCTATTCTCCCACTGACTGCAGCGCAGATGATGTAAAAGATGAGTTTTACAGAAAGCTCTCCGACCTCCGAAAAGCTAGGCGCTCAGATGTAGTAATAATGGCCGGTGACTTTAATACTCAAGTAGGTAAACTAAGCGATAGGGAAAGACACCTGGGTGGATCTTATAGCATCGTGGCTCAAAGGACAGATAATGGCGACCGTCTGTTGCAGCTATGCTCAGATAACCGCCTGTTCCTTGCAAATACTAACTTTAAGCATAAGGAAAAACATCTTTTAACATGGCGACCCCCTAATTCGTCCCAACGTTGGACCCAAATAGATCACATCGCCATCAGCCACCGATGGAGGGGCTCGATAGAAGACTGTCGCTCATTCTGGAGCACATGCTTAGATTCAGATCATGCTCTAGTACGAGCGCGTATCTGTCTGCGTCTTACTGGGCGTAGGAAAGACGCTGCAAGGAAACCTCTTAGGGCCCTACTTAATGATAGTCAAACTAAGAGTATATTTCAGGAACAACTAGGAAAACAGTTAGGCAGCCATGTATGTGATGCCCACACCGAGGCAGCATGGAATGATATCCGTAAAGCTGTGGAAACAGCAGTGATATCTGCTAGTACTGTAACCCGTAAGGTTAGGGAACGACACTGGATCTCAGCAGCATCTATCGCACTGATAGATGCTTGGAAACTCATTCCACCTGGCTCTGAACATAATGAAGAGCGGAGTCAGCTTAAGCGCAAGCTGACAAGAAGTCTACGAAATGATCGCGAACAGTGGTGGGTAGCGAAAGCAAGAGAGATGGAAAAGGCAGCGGCAGTAGGTAATAGCAGACAATTGTTCAGACTTGTTAAGGAAACCGGTATTAAGAAACCGACTGTTAGCGAAACACTCTCAGAGAAAGATGGACATATTATACACTCTCAATCCAGGAGATTGGATCGATGGGCAGAACACTTCAGGGATCAGTTCAACTGGCCTTCAGCCACACTTCGGTTTCCCACGATCTCCAGTCAACCTGAATGGCAAGTTAATGTAGGTCCTCCGTCTCTTTACGAAGTTGAAAAAGCCATTGGAAATCTGAAGCGAGGGAGAGCAGCAGGCCCTGACAGGTTTACTCCTGAGATTTTTGAGGATGGTGGTTCAGTATTAGCAGTGAGATTAACTGAGGTCTTAGGTAGAATTTGGGAACTGAACGCAATCCCATCTTACTGGTCTCAATCTCTGATTGTGCCAGTCTATAAGAAAGGACAAAAGTCCTCTTGTGACAATCACAGAGGAATCAGTTTGACTAATATAGTGTCTAAAATATTAGCTTCAATAATACTTCGACGCCTAACCAAAGCTCGTGAAGAGCAAACTAGAGTAAACCAGGCTGGTTTTCGACCTGGACGTGGTTGTATAGATCAGATATTCACACTACGTCAGGTTCTAGAACACAGACACACGTTCAGACGCTCCACAATGGTAGTATTTCTCGACCTTAAGGCGGCATTCGACTCTGTTGATCGTAAGGTTCTATGGCAGTGTTTGTCATTGAAAGGAGTACCAAAGAAGTACATTAACCTTATTCAGGCTCTCTACTCGAACACAACTGGTAGAGTGAGAGCTTATGGCGAACTGTCATCAGAATTGATTACCTCAAGTGGTGTTCGTCAGGGCTGTCCACTCTATCCTTTCTTGTTTAACTTTGTCGTTGACGTGCTTTTAGAGATGACCCTTTCCTCATCTAAATTTCCAGGGGTTGAACTTCTACCAGGAGGTTCACTTGTTGACTTAGAATATGCTGATGACATAGTTCTATTTGGCGAAGACGCTGACAACATGCAGAGTCTTCTGACCACTCTAAGCAACAATGCAAGCATGTTCGGGATGCGATTCTCTCCCTCGAAATGCAAAATGTTGCTTCAGGATTGGGTTACATCGACACCCGAACTAGTGATAGGGAGTGAAGTAGTTGAGTGTGTCGACCGCTTCACTTATCTTGGAAGTCTCATCAGCCCATGTGGTCTGGTGTGTGACGAAACCTCAGCACAGATACAGAAAGCTCGACTAGCTTTTGCCAACTTGCGTCATTTATGGCGTAGGCGAGATATCCGTCTATCAACCAAAGGACGGGTTTACTGCGCAGCAGTTCGTTCTGTCCTGCTTTATGGCAGTGAAACATGGCCGGTAAGAGTAGAGGATATTCGTAGACTACTAGTATTTGATCATAGGTGTCTGCGAAACATTGCTCGTATATCATGGGACCATCGAGTAAGTAACACAGTTGTTAGGAAACGGGTACTAGGTAAGGATGGCAAATCAATTGATGAAGTAGTGAAACTTCATCAGTTGAGATGGCTGGGACACGTGTTACGTATGCCCAACGACCGACTGCCCCGACGTGCAATGTTCAGTGGTATAGGAGTAAGTTGGAAGAAAGCTAGGGGCGGCCAGACCAAAACATGGCACAAGTCCATGAAGTCACTGACAAGTGGAGTGAGTCATGTCGGTAGGTGTAGACTACCTGGTTGGGGACCGCGAGATGATAACAACCGATAGTTAGAGACCTTGAATGACATGGCTCAAAATCGTTTGCAATGGTGCAGGTGCATCCACTCTTTATGTTTTCCCAAATTTTGATCTCCTGATTCCCCCTTGTCTCTTTTTTTCTCTTCCCAAGTTTATTTCACTGTATTCTACTCTTTAAGTAACATCTCCAAACACTAATCTTTCCGATTACTGCTTATACTCTTAATACCTCTACCACTACGGGATTTGAATCGACCACTGCATTTCTGTGCTAATGTGGTGTGGCAACTCGAACTGATGTACGTACGTACGAAGTTCTACGTTGTTGCTGACTGACTGCGCTCAATTGTTTCATAGGTTTTCTCCAACTGCTTGGAAGTTAAAAATGATAGTATTCGTCATTTGGAGAAACAGGTTCATATATTTTACATGACTAACAGAAATGTCTTCATCGTAGTCGGGAATGATAAATACATATAGAGTCATAATTAAAATCGTCTACACGACTGATTGTTTGTTGGTTAACTGATGGAAATTCTAGAAGACAAAGCAAAACTTGATGTTTATTTATTTATTTATTTATTTTATTTGGACACATGAATATTGGTACAAGAGAGCGCCAATATATATGCGCCACACAAAACAATGAAAATACGAAGAGGAATACAAAGAAAGAAAAAAAAAGCTAAGGAGCCAAAAAAAGAGAACAATAACGAAGAGATTGGTGTAAGGTAATGTGCTAGTAATCAGGGAACGCAAAGGTACAATCGGAAGAAATCTTTCAGGTAAGGGAGACACAACCACTTTTTATGAAGAAAGTAAAAGAAGGTTACAGCAGGATCGCCACTGGCTTCTATTCTGAGCCATATCTGATAACGTCTCTAGCCACTGTGTTGCACCATCTCTCGAACCTCAGCCAGGGAGTCGTGAAGGACCAACACAAGCCAGCCCTTTGCAGTTTTCTTTGATACCACGACACCATGTCATACACTGACCACCTCTCCGCTTCTTCCAACCAGTCCCAGAGTCGGCAATTAATGCACGACGTGGAATTCTCTGGGACGACATTCGGAGAACATGTCCAAGCCACCGAAGTCGGTGTTTCAAGATGGTGACAGCAATTGCATTATCGTCTCTGTGCCCAAACACACGATGCCGAGCCTCTGCATTACTGACATGGTGTTGCCACTGAATGTCAGCAATCCTTCGGAGACAGTGATGATCGAACACAGAGTTGTCTAACGTCCTCAACTCGGAGAGGCCAGGTTTCACAAACATAGAGCAAAACTGCTCTCACCGACGCGTTGTAGATCCGACCTTTTACAGCCAGACTAACATCACGAAGGCGCCAAAGATGGCCCAGATTGACATAAGCCGCTCTGGCTTTCACTATACGTGCATTGATCTCATCACTCACACCCCCACCAGCACTTATGCAGCTACCCAGATACACGAACTTCTCTACTACTTCTATCTGCTCACCATCTAAAGTGAGTACAGGATTAGAATCCTGCCAGTCTTGTAGAAGTACTTTGCACTTCGGAGGTGCAAAGCACATACCATACCTACGGACACTGATTGCCAACTGATTAAGTGCGGATTGCATGCCTTGGGCATTATCGCACAGTAAGACAATATCGTCCGCATGCTCAAGGTCGAGAAGTCTTTCTCTAGACAACAGATCCACACCACCATTACTTACATTCAACAGAGCTGTTTCCAGAATGTCATCGATGGCAAAGTTGAAGAGGAATGGTGAGATTGGGCAACCCTGCCTAACCCCACTACTCGAATGGAACAATGGAGAGAGGTGGTTGTATGCCCTCACTCTGCCTGAGGTGTTTTTATATAGGGCTTTTAGGATGTTAATAAACTTCCCAGGCACACCCTCCTTCAATAAACAATCCCAGAGAACACTACGATTGTTGGCCTTTGATAAGTATGGCGGTGTTCTAACATTTGGCGGAGGGTGAAGATATGATCAATACATCCTCGACCAGAACGAAACCCAGCCTGCTCCTCGCGAGTCAATATTTCTCGGGTTTTGAACAACCTACGAAGTATGACGGAAGCCAATAGCTTGGACGCAATCGGAAGTAGACTTATCCACCGATAGTTGTTACAGAAACGATATGAACCCTTTTTAAAGATAGGGACAACTATCGACTCATTCCATGACGTTGGTACACTCTCTAGCTCCCAGACTTTTGTAAACAACGTCGTCAGTTCCTTAGTCAGAAAGTCACCACCATCTTTAAGAAGAGCCAGAGGTAAGTCATCTGGGCCAGGTGATTTGTAGTGCTTCGAGAATTGGAGTTCCTTGCGGACTTCCTCCTCATTTGGTGGATCAGTTGTCACCGGCCATAGAGGGCAGGACAGTGTGACCGATGTTGCCGAACCAGCAGGCCAGTTAAACTGCTCTTCGAAAAATTCTGCCCATCGTCCAAGACGTCGATGGATGTTAGTGATTGGCGTTACGTCATCCTCACAGATTGTTTCGCTCACACCAGGCTTCCTGCTGCCAGTGGCTCGGATGAGTTGGAAAAGCTTGCGGTAATCACCAGATGCAGCTGCTACTTTCAGCTCATTAGCACGCTCCGACCACCAGGCTTCTCGGTCCTTACGCAAGCTTTGCCCGATTTCTTTACGTAACATACTTCGGAAGTTAGTGCTAGCCAGAAACAGGTTGTGGTCTGTGCACAGTTGCAGTAGACGGTCCCCGTTATCTGTCCTGCGACAAACAAGTCCCCATCGGCCACCTAAACGATTCTCTTGTGTGCCTAGATGCCCGACCTGAACATTCAAGTCTCCGGTTAGTACTACAATGTCTGTCGAACGCACTTTCTGGAGAACAGTTAACTGGTGATAGAATTCATCCTTGATTGCATCCGGGCTGCAATCTGTCGGGGGATAGGCGGAGATGACAAAGAGACATCGTTTCTCACGTTGATTTCTTCTCACTTTGATAGAACTTTCTAATCTAAAAGCACATAGCCGACTGTTACTGGGAATCCAATCGATTAGTGCTGCCTCAGCTCTTGCGCTTAGTGCGACACCAAGGCCAGCAAGACCAGACGAAGATGCCACAGGGTCCCCGGATAAACACACGTGAAACAAGCTTTTTGAAGCGACAGATGGAGAGCGAATTTGTAGTACTTCACCAGAGTCTTGAATACGGGTCTCTGATAGACAACAAACATCGATATGAAGACTTTCCAAAGACATAGCCAGCCCTATCTGTTGACCAACCTGCATAAGTGTGCGAACGTTGAAGGCAAGCAGTTTGAATGATGCACGTGGTTTCAGAAAAACTGCTTCAGTACTCATATTCGATGGTAACATACAATTTTCAACCGGACAGTGACTCGAGAACGTTTAGATACAGTCGGATTTCCACCTAAGACGAGCCGCTGTATAAGTATAAAAGAGGGTGAATAATGTGGAAAATAATAATAATAATAATAATAATAATAATAATAATAATAATAATAATGACAATAATAGTAATAATAATAGTATTAATAACGACAATAATATTAATGATAATTATTTGAATCGATTGATTTTTTTTCGGAGCGAGGAAAGTAGTTACCATAGACATAGAGTTCATTGTTTGATATTTACTGGTTTCTAGAAAAAATGTTAACAAAAGTTACTCAATACTAGCTCCAAAAAGGACTTAGTAACGAACCAACGTAGTGAGGTCCATAAGAATAAATAAAAAACGAATTATTCCATTGATTACAATATGCAACTAATTGATAGAAATTAAGATCGTTATAAATGATCAAGACTGATGGAAATTGATAGGGATATTCTCAGCATTATGCCAAACATTTACATTTACTTGCTTACTCATTATTTGAAACTACTGACATTCAGTGCTAAGCAGGTAATGAGCGATTGGATTGTTACATGTCATATTCGGTGGAATGTACTCAAAGATACCGATTATATCTCTTAATCTCTTTTCATTCTATATGCCCAGCGCTTTGTTCACTTTTAACTACTTAAGTGAGCAGTTTGCTTGGAATAGGGAGACTGACTTTGATGCTAGATTATTTAACTTTTTTAACATACGTTACATCAGGGCTGCAAAAGAGGGAAGCATCGTACAATATATGAATAGATTAACAGGAATAGTATCTCATGATACAATTCATACAACGTAGTACAGTTCATATAAGGTTATTCATTCCACCTTAATAAATGTTGTGATAGAAAATGGCTTCGGAATCACCACTGGTTCCTACTCTGAGCTATATTTGATAACATCTGAAGCAATTAAGTTTTATGATTTGTAGGATCCAAACCAAAACGCTTTAATAGGCTGAAGAAAACCAGTCCTAAATAGCTTTCTTATTTACTATGGCTCCATGTAGAATGACCAACTCAATTTTTGCCACGTCATCCCAGTATCAGGAAACAGTGTGCTTCAAAGGCACTCATGAGAAACTTCTAGTAACCTGCAAATTTCCTGTAATTTTAAATAACACGGCTCGCAGTCATAACATGAATCGAACTAAATATCAAAGTTTTGTACTGACGCATCAATGTTTCGACCAATATTTAATCACTATGTATCTATATGGCTAATTACAATAATTTGACTTCTATCCTACTAGATACCAATGTGTCTACTAATGAACCTCCTGGAAGTGATGTGAAGAATCGAGAAGAAAATAAGTCTGGTTCTAAGCATCCTTCGCCAGACGATCTGCTGACTGAATTAAGAACTACAGAAATCGCCAAGTATGAGGCGGAATTGGCTCATATAGAAGCTGAAAAAAATGAACTTACGAGAACACTCGAAATTACTCAGCGATCTCTTGAGTTGGCTACAAGTGAAGTTTCAAATAAACAGGAGCGTATCAATGGGTTACTGGCTCAGTTAGATGCAATTATGTCCGTCAAATCAGAAGCAGATTCTGAATTCGAAGTCAAAGAATTGGAATTAGAAGCACAACCAACTACAAACTGTAAAAATGCGATGGTGGAATCCTGTATTTCAATGACTTCTCATACAGATGAAAATGAAGATCCAAATACAAACACGCAAAATGACCTAAAAAGATTACGTAAAGCTCTACGGCTAAATGAAAATCGTTATTCCGTAGCTTTGCGTCAAATTGCCAGCATGCAACATGATCTTTGGAGATATCATGAGCGTGAAAAAATTGATTCTCGACCTGAACTAGCTTCAGAAGAATCCTTAAAACAAGAACTGGTTCGCTTACAAGGTATTTTGGAACAACGTAATGAAGAAATAAAAACGCTACAGCAGAAGCTATCTGATAACGAACAAACTATTTGTAAAAATTTTAGTAAGATCTGTTCTGTCACGGAAACTTATAAGCAATGTCTTATTGTTCTTATCGGGATTTATAGCTTTGTGTGCTCAGTTATTAAAGTATCACCACATAAACAAGTGAGCGTTTTAGGTTTCGTTTCTATCGTTTTGTTTTGTTTATATGTCTAGTATGTGTTAGATCTGATCCTAATATCGCAGTTGTTGGGAAATATTTAAGTTGTTTGCAAATTTGGTGAGGAATTATGTAGTTCACAATGCTGGCTGTGCTTTTATGTTTGCCCGTTAAGGTGATGTGTTGTCAGTAATGATTTAGTTTACAATTCAGTTCCGACAGATGTTTATAGGTGGCACAACTGCTTTACAATAACCATCCCAAACAAACAACTACACCGAGTCAAGTTATTGTAAGAATTAGTCTAAAATGGAGTTATTATGTTCATGGTCCACCAATGTGTTTTGTTTAAATGTAGACACTGGTGCTGTCCTGAACGACAATGAAAGCTTCTCAACAAAGCAACCCAGCCTCGATTTTCGTCTGCTACATTAATGTAGACTCGGTTGCTTGAGTATTGTACGAAATAGATGGACCAGCAGGCTATCATTAATTAATACAGTAGAGTTACACATTGTATTGGGCCGATATACACCTTGGTATACCAGTAATATGAACTAAGACAGAGGCTCAAAATAGAAGATACATTTTAAGGCAATATCAGAACATTTTGAAAATTGGTGATGCCTTTTATGGAGGTGGTTATTGTTTTATCAATTTTAGTAATCAACCAACATTGCTAGGTAGAATTTGGATTTAAAATTGGTTTTTTTCTGTTCTCTAAATTTTTATTTATTTATTTTAACACATAGATATTGGTACAAAGAGGCACCAAATACATATGCGCCGCAAAAATCTCATTTGATATGTGTGAGGGCTGTGATGCCGCCTGGGTGCCCAAACCGAAGCAGGTGGTTTTCTTAGGGGACCACGCCCGAAGCCTTCGACCTGAAAGTCTGATCCACAAGGCAGTGGAGCATCTTAAGGAGATTCAGTCCCATGAAAGCTAGTGACCAACAATTGGTTCATGCACCATTTGTTCCTTCAGGATTCTGGAGTCCATGTGCACCATTTGTTTACAATCAGGGTTTTCCAACTTCCCTAGGTGTACTCTTCATGTCCTCCAACCCGGTTAAAGCGCCGGACATTCGCTTTTCGTCCTCTCAATTTCGTAAACAACACTCCCGCCACGAGAAGGCAATGAGTAGGAATTTCCCTGGCAGAGGCTATATACGCGTGACCATGTAAGAGCATTTCGAGAGGGAGAGCGGACTCTCCCCACTCTCGGCCGTACCAGGGAATTTGAGTTCTCTAAATATTTTAGTTAAATATTTATTTTTGCGCCGGCTTTGTATTCGACTTTGCGCAATTAAAGCCGTACAGTACTTTTAAAAGTATGTGCCAGGACCCGACCGTTATTGCTACCTTGACGTGGTGGTCGGGCTTGCCTATCGCGATGAAGCAACCGAGCTATACTGGCTGGAACAACCGTTCCTCAAGGTCCTACCATGTCAGACAGGTCGGTTGAAGAGCGGTAAGACTAAAAGCAACAAACCCAAGGTCCGAAGGCGAAGTCGTACCGCTGACTGTACGGAGGTGTAACAGCAGTAAGGTGTTTCCTTCAGACAACCAGCATGACAGCGATGCTGCCTTCCCACAAGGAGGGGTGGAGTTAAAAAACGGTCGACCCTAAAAATGCACATTTCGCCTTATCCCACGGATATCCGTCTCCGGCGGTAAGGTCTCAACAAGTACGGAGCTAACACAAAAATGACTCATTAAAAGGTCGTGTGTGACCGACCTCAAACAGTTGTCCCTTGGGCACTGCGGTCACGCTCCCAGGTCACTAAGACCACCTCTAATCCTTTTTTTGAGGTACCTCCAGAAGAACCCTTCCACGATGTGGGCAACCGGGAAGTGATAACCGCCCTCATACCTCTAACAGCACTCAAGACCACTGTATTCATAATCAACCTCCCTCTTCAATTCCTATTATTCCTCCTACATCGACTTTCACCTCTAAACTTCCTTTTTCGGCTTCCTCCTCAAATGTCACCATAGCCAACGATTCTAGTGTCAAAACACTGTCCCAGGTCTACTGAAACCTCGCTCCAAACTACACATTGGAGCCTTCAACGTACGCACCCTATGTCAAATCGGTCAACAGGCTTCCTTGGCTAGAACCCTAGAATCTCGTACTATTGATGTATGCTGTGTCTCTGAAACACGCATACAGGATCCCAGTGTGGTCATTCACTTGACCTCACCTCAACAAAACGGAGAGCCGGCAAGGTACAGCCTACGTGTATCTGGTGACCCGACGGCCAACTCTCGTGGACTCGCAGGAGTAGAGATAGCACTAAGTATGAGGGCGGAACAAGCACTGTTAGAGTGGACCCCCGTTAACAGTCGTTTATGTGCTGTTCGGCTAAACAGCTCCGTAAGAACTCAGAAGGATAGGGACACACGTCGTTGACTTTTTGTCGTTTCTACCTACGCTTCCACCGACTGCACCTCAGATGAAGTTTACAGAAAGCTATCTGAACTTCTTCAGAAAGCTAAACGTTCAGACATAGTACTCGTAGGGGGTGACTTTAATGCCCAGATGGGTAGCTTAAACCAAACAGAAAGGCATTTAGGTGGGTATTTCAGTATTTCGACACAGCGAACAGATAATTGTGATCGTCTGCTTCAACTGTGCTCAGACAATCGTTTATTTTTAGCAAACACAAACTTTAAGCATAAGGAGAGAAATCGTCTAACATGGCGACCCCCTACACCAAGCCAACGATGGACTCAAATAGACTATATTGCCATCAGTCATCGTTGGAGAGGGTCGGTAGAAGATTGTCGCTCATTCTGGAGTACCTACTTGGACTCCGGCCACGCCCTAATACGAGACTGGAATTAATAAGTCAAGTGTAAGTGAGATTATTTCGGAAAAAGACGATACTCTCATTTGCTCCCAGTCCAGACGTTTAGAACGATGGGCGGAACATTTTAGAGAACAGTTCAACTGGCCTTCAGCTACTCTACAACTACCCTCCATTCCCAGACAATGTGAATGGAACATTGAAGTAGCTCCCCAACTCTTGCTGAAGTTGAGAGGGCTATAGTTAATCTGAAACGAGGAAGGGCAGCTGGTCCTAATGGATTGGCTCCAGAAGTCTTTAAGGATAGTGGTTCAATTTTAGCGATTAGGTTGACTAATATTTTAGCTAAGATCTGGGAGTTAGACATTATCCCATCTGACTGGTCGCAATAACTTATCGTCCCAATATATAAGAAAGGGTCAAAATCATTCTGTGACAACCACAGAGGGATTAGTTTAACAAATATAGTATCTAAAATACTGGCCTCGATAATTATCAAACGCCTAACTAAGACTCGTGAACTGCAAACACGAGAGAATCAGGCTGGCTTCAGACCTGGTCATGGTTGCACCCCACACATATTCACCATTCATCAGGTTCTAGAACACAGGCATACTTATCGGCGTCCGACAATGGTGGTCTTTCTTGACTTAAAAGCAGCATTTGACTCTGTAGATCGCGAGATTCTGTGGCAGTGTCTGTCATTGAAAGGCGTACCCCAGAAGTACATAAGCCTTGTGAAGGCTCTTTACTCGAACACTACCAGTCGAGTCAGAGCTTATGGCGAACTGTCATCGCACAATTCTGACTAGTGTAGGAGATGGTTGGAAGAAAGTAAGGGGCGGCCAAACCAAAACGTCATCATTGCTTGAAGTTACTAACTTCTAGTCTGAGCCATGTTGGTAGATGCAGACTACTTGGTTGGTGTTCGCGTGACTATCGTAACCAATGGTTGGAGACTCTTGGTGACATGGCTCAGAATCGATCACAAAGGCGTCGGTTTATACACTCCCTGTCTTTCCTTAAACTAAGAGATTAAAATTGCTTCATATCTTTCTTTCTACTAACTAATTCTTTCTTCCTATACTATATCCTTATGTGCAATCTATCTTTTACATATTACCACCTCTGAATTAACTACTTTTATGAATCCGGTGTCCATCTTGTTGTGCTAATGAGGTATGGCAACCTGGACCGATGCACATATATGCCTGGTCCTACGTTGTAGCTGACTGATGTGCCAGGTATTTCTTTTTCTAGCCATGTAAAAAGCGTAATCAAATAGAGTAACAGATTTGCTGCATTGTTCTCACTTCTAAGTGGTGATTATATTTCACGTAGTTTACTAATGTAACTCTTCATAGAAAGTTTTGTTCCGTTTTTAAGCAAATTTTGTTTGTCTTGAAAAGCATGTCTTTTTAGGTTTCGGTTTTATTTACTTCTTAATAGGTGGCTTATGTAGCGGATCGTTTTAATATCCCTCTTCGTAGTGAGAAAGATTCGTCGGAGAATTCAGTCGCATCTGATCTAGTTGGGACTGATAAATCTATTGATGAACAGCTGGTACAAGATTGTGGAATAAAACCAACAGAATCTCCCACCTCTAATACAAAAACAACAACCAGTACTACTACTACCGAATCTAATTTCGAAGTGTTATCCGAAGAAGCCGATTTGCATCTTACCGTTGTCACACAACTGCGTCATCTAGTTAGCACATTCAATGAAAAGTATTCTCAGATTTCAAATCAGGTAGAAATAACAGTGTTATAATCAAGATTTATGTAGCTTTTTTAAGTATTAAAAACAAAGCAACATGTATAATTTAAACTATACGAACTAGTTTAACATAGTCTATACTTAGTTAACACTTTTTGCATATATCCAAGGGTTTTCAGTACACCGGTCGTATATAGGATTCGGAAAATGATGATAGACTGATCGAGTCTATGCATGTCATGTGACCGTACTCACACATTGCCTTAAGGTGGAACGGTATTTGAGAAATTATAAACGAGACACGCTATTGAGGGAAGTCGATTATAGTTCCAATAGAGGGCTTAATTTATGTCTTTGTCTGGGTCAGAGAAACAAGTTTTTGTACCAATGATTAGTGTACTTAATTATTCAGTTTTATCAATTACAGCCTCCTAGCAATTTACATCTTCTCCATAGCATATCTGTTTGGGCAACCACATAGGAAGTGCGTGTGTCGTTCTGACGTCGTGGATCAGGTCAAAAACAATATAGTCTTTTTATATTATTGTCTGAGACATAAATATTTACAAAAATTATTGTTCTGGTCAAACCATACACGTAAAAATCCTGAATTCTATGCTTGTGAGTAGCCCAGACTAACCACTAAAGCGTATCCAAAATGTTAAAACAGTTTACAAATATTTTGAGATCCATCGTTACAAATATATATATATATATATATATATATATATATATATATATATATATATATATATATATATATATATATATATATATCATTACTTCAACATATTGTTATTTGTAACGATAGATCTCAAAATATTTGTAAACTGTTTTAACGTTTAACATATGACAAACAAAAAGACCTGATTGGTTTCTTATTCCGTAATTTCGTTATGTTATTTACATTTTCCTCCATGTAGATTTGCTTATGAAATCGTATGATCAATTATGTTTTGTGATTCGTAATAATAATTTGGCTTCATAAGATTTCATTTTATGATAACTGTGTTTGAATTTTACAACCGTTTGTATCAAATTGTATTATCCTTTTCCCAAAATGGAGGTTTTTGACACAGTTCATTATTGATCATTAGTGATTATTAAGAAAAAACATTGTGTACCGTCAACGCAGGATTTCTGACGAATGTAGATCATCAGTCCAAATATTCCATACCTCATATCAGCGCAGTGTGGTAGGAAATTAACAATATGATGCTTAAACATGAGAAATACAGTTCAGAAGGAGCTATAAAAAGCTTGGAAAAAGGGATTTTACTGTGAAAGTTTCACCCCATCTCGCCCATCATTTCGAACCGTAGATTATGATTAGTTGGGCCACAACCAGAAGGCCCATACCTACTGATATGGATCAATTCAGAAGTTAACAACTCTTAGGATTGATTATATGCGTTGCTCTGACTCCCACCCTAGCTTCCTTGCGATTTATTCCTAGTTTTTACGTAGCACTGCGCGTTTTGATAGACCGTGTTTAGGTTTGCATAACATTATTCAGTACTTTATTTCTGGTTAGTTGATGTGGTTTGTAAATCTCAATAATATTATTATTACTAATGTTATGAAATAGGTTCCTGGACGTAGCAGTTTGGATATTGAAGAGACCCAACAACAAAACTTGCGTTTAAAAAGTCTATTGGAGACGAAACGTGAACAAGTACACACATTGCGTAATATGCTGCGAGCCAATAAAACTACGGCTGAAACCGCTCTAGCAAATTTAAAACAAAAATATGAAAAAGAGAAAATTAATGTCAGTTCAACAATGCAACAGTTACGTAGTGAGTTGAAGACACTTAAAGAAGATGCTGCAATCTATGGTTCTTTACGCGCTGTATTCTCCCAACGTTATGATGAATACATGACACAATTAGATGAAATGCAAAGGAAACTAAGTGTAAGTGATGAAAAATTCTTTTAGTTATCTTCAGCGCATGCATATCTTGGGTATTTCGTGCATACACTTTAGCAATTGCGTAGTTTTGTTTCATACAATTTTTCACCATTTACTAGTCGGAAAATGTGACTAGATATTTAAGGCATATTATTACCTACATGGAATCACAGTTGTTAAGTTTTACTATTTATATTTATTACTCAACATTATAGGTCAATCAAAAAATGAGTTGGTAAAATCTAATCAAAGTAAAATATTTAAAAAAAAGTTAGATGATAATGAATATCAGGAAATAAACATGATTTTTTATTGTCTGTTTCTGTAAAACTGTTAAATCCACTCAATTTCTATTCACAACAATTCATTAAATCAGCTTGTGCTGTAGCATTTTCAAATCATTTTGGGTTGCTTGATAGTCCATTTTATACGCAAAATAAGTGTAGTTTATATGTTGACTATTGTCCATGTAGTCGATTTCAACTCATATAATTTATATTTTTTGCTTTTTCAAAATATTTTGAAAATATAGGTAGCTGAAGAAGAAAAAAGAACTGCAAATACTTTGTTACGCCTTGCTATTCAGCAGAAATTAGCTGTTACTCAACGACTTGAAGAACTTGAAGTAGATCTCTATCAAAAACAAAATTTCGACATCCGTTCTGGCCAACCTCATCCACCTTATCATACTAGTTCAATTCAACCATCTCCTAATTCCCTTTTATCTAGTCCAAATCACCAGCACCCTTATTCTACATCAATTCATAGTCAGCGACATTCAACTCCACAAAGCTTCCCCCCAATTGATCTTTCCATCCTTAGATCATCTACCCTTCCGAATGCTCCTTATTATACCGGTTCAAGTCCACAACATGGAAGTATGTCGTCCAATGGCAGTGGTGCAAGATTATCAGGTCCAGGATCCGATAGAAGCAAAGTAATTAATTTTTATCATGACACATTAAACATATTGCACTGCGAAATAGCATGTTTTGATGGAAATTTTTTAAAATTTGACACTAAGTAGATTAATTTGTGATCTATAAGTAGATTCTAAATCATTTCGTTAATGTTACTGGCAGTACTGGATAAGCTGTTTAAGTAGAATTAGATTACCTTATCATTGAAGATATTCGGCGACTCTCTATGTCCGGCCATCATTGTCTCTGAAGGATTGTTTACATCCAGTGGCAACAGGATGTTGGCGATTTGTGTCCGATGATAATTTAATTGGCGTTACCATCTTGAAACACTGGCTTCTATGGTTTGGACATGTTTTAAGAATGTCATCATCGCAAATTCCGTCCTCTTTTAATTACTGGTGTTGTGACTGATTGAACAAAGCAAAGATGGTCAGTCTATGACATGGCACCGTGGTATTAAAGAAAATTATGGGACGAGTTTGTTGGTCCTTCACGACTCTTTCAGTCAGTCACAACGTAGAACCTGGTACATATGTACATTGGTTAAAGTTGTCATGCTCCGATTAGCACAGAGAGACTAAATTGTCAAGTCAAATCCCAGAATATTAAAAACAGTAACAGTATCAGTGGTAATAGGAAAAATTAGACATCGAAGATACGATTCGAAAAGAAAATATAAATTGGTGGAATACGAATAAAAATAATTGTAGTGTTTCTGAATTTGGAGGTACATAAAGAACGGATGTACCTGCTTCATTGCAAACGATTTTAATCCATATTACTCAACGTCTTCAGCCATTGATTATGATAATCGCACGAACCCCAAGTAGGTAGCCTGCACCTATTATTATGGCTCAGTCTAATGTTCAGTGACTTCATGGACTGGTGCTATGTTTTGGTTTGGCCGCCCCTGGCTTTTTTCCAGCCTACTCCTGCACCAGAAAACATCGCCCACCAAGGTAGGCGGTGGCTGTGCATATGTAACTCATGTCGCAGTCACCTCAGTTGATGAAGATTTACTATTTCATCAATCGATTTCCCGTATTTACCCAGTGCTCTGTTCCTAACCCATGGGTTGGTGGGCTTCGAGATATAGTATAACTCATATGCTTGAGATTTTATCAGACGTGGCTCTTAATGGAAGCCAATGGAATTGAAGAGGAAGGTTGATTATGAATACAGTGGTCTTGGGTGCTGTTAGAGGTATGAGGGCGGTTATCACTTCCCGGTTGCCCACACCGTGGAAGGGTTCTTCTGGAGGTACCTGAAAAGGAAATTGGATTAGAGGCGGTCTCGGCGACCTGAGAGCGTGACCGCAGTGCCCAAGGGACAACTGCTTGAGGCCGGTCGCGCACGGCCTTTCCGTGGAAGGTTTTTGACATGTTAGCTCCGTTCTTCAAAGGGCCTTACCGCCGGAGACGGAAATCCGTGAGGCAAGGTGAGGTGCGCATTTTTAGGGTCGACCTTTTCTAACCCCACCCCTCCTTGTGGGAAGGCAGCATCGCTGTCATGCTGGTTGTCTGAAGGAAACACCTTACTGCTGTCACACCTCTGTACAGTCAGCAGTACGACTTCGCCTTCGGACCTTAGGTTTGTTGCTTTTAGTCTTACCGCTCTTCAACCGACCTGTCTGACATGGTAGGACCTTGAGGAACGGTTGTTCCAGCCAGTATAGCTCGGTTGCTTCATCACGATAGGCAAGCCCGACCACCACGTCAAGGTAGCAACAACGGTCGGGATGGAAGCCAATGACGATCCTGCTGTAGTTTTCTTGTAAATTCTTCATAAAAGTGATGGAAACATATTTAACCTGATTCTTTTTGGTTGTAATTTTGTTGACTGAATTGTTCCTCCCACTGTATACTACTCTCATTCATCTATTTTTATTCATTTACTAGTTTTCGGTTGTTCTCACCCTCCCTACTTCGTATTTCCATTAAATCATTTTCTTATTGCTGTAGCACATATTTATTTTGGTTCACATTTGTATGAATATCTATGTGTTCAAATAAACAATAAATAAATGATCTTATAGTTAGATATAGTCGTCAAGTGTAAAAATAAGATATCCTCCCATTAAAGTATTGTTTTATTGTAAGTAGCAGTGAAACCCAGGATACACGGCTTGTCAACCAGGCGTTTACCTTCGTCTCAGTAAATGTTGTCATTGTCGTTAAAATTAATTCCATATATATGTATACAACATCTGAATGAAGGCTGAAGAAATGATAGCTCCTAGAACTAATGGATTGTTATTCTATATATACTTATTCTATACTTATTAGGTAACTAGATTACTGTATATGTACACATATATTCCTTTTGTCATAAGCTTTTGATTGACTCATTAAATATTATCATACGTTTTACTATACCTACTTTGTTCCCGGTAGGTTTTGTTTAGTCTCTCCTATTCACAGCCGCTTTCCATCTTGATTATGTATGATTATTATTTTATATTCATGGTGTGATACGGTCTGGTCTGCCTTTATATATACGTCTGTTTAGAGTATAAGATAGTTCAGGCTGGCTGCTGACTTCTGAACTCAGGGGGGAGATCAGTGAGATAAGCTAGACAGTCGTGAATCAATAGAAAATTAGCTGTTAAATCAAGGTTGGTCGGACGTGGAATTGGCCAACTTAAAGACTCTGAGCCATAAAGTAGATAGTGGACAAGAGTAGAACAAATTAGATTCGGGGTTGTGATTGGTGGTTTATCAGTTGATTTCGGACAGGGGGCTGCAAGATATTATTTATAAATATGTATCATATATGCTAAGGTGGTCGCAAGGATAGTCCGATTTTATTAGAAGGGTTAAGATCTCTTCTGGAATGACAACCGCTCGCATACTTTCTACCAATTCGATTTTCCGCATAACTTTTGCTCTTTGATTGGTTGTCATGTTTTTTAGTCCGCTAAATTACTACATGTCGAATGTTGTCATATCCTGCTACTATAGTAACAACTTTTGTACCGATTTCGTTTGAGTTACTTGTTCTACCAAAAATATCAAGTCGCCTGCATTTCCGTCTCCTTTCTGTTTTAGCCGTCGAGGTTTGATGTGTTAGGCATAAATGACTGTTGTTAGTTCAGAAGAGAACTGATCGTATTAGAGAAGTTCAGTTGTTTTCATCCCTAAATCCGTAACATCGTAGGCCGTACTGACCCCCAGTAACAAACACAACAATATAAAAGCATTAAATAAAAAGATATGTTTGTTCCATCGATTTGGCTTATTTCAGCGAGACTTGTGTTATGGGTTAGAATTTTATTAATCGATAAATAGAAAAGTACGATGTAACCAAATTATTCGTGCTCTTGAAACTGGTTTATTAATTCGAACCTATGAATGAACTAATATTAAATTAGGTTCAATGTAACCTGTTTCTTACTTCCAAACCTCCAATTTTTTTAACAGTGCACACGATGCCGAATCATTTAAATTTGTGGCCACATTGTACATTGATCAGTATAATTTAATCAACACTAAAGTACTAAAGGGATATGACATTTTTCGCTACTCAATAATATATTAGTTGTGAAATGAAACCCGTAACCATTTTTAGTAGTAATGGTTATATCTTATTGATGGAGCGAAATCTGTTAATCTAGTCATGTTTCGTAAATTGAGGTCAGATATGAAGGTTTTGATGTCAAGGTTGAATTGTAACTAATTGCAAAAATTCTGTCAAATCAATCACTACTCCAGTTGAATAAATATCTTTTAAATAACATTTCAGTTAGTAACCTTTTTCATACCTGTTTTTAGTTAATCGACGGAAGGATTAAATACCTCGGTTGTTTATTTATTTATTTATTAAATAAATATTAGTATACAAGAGGGTACCAAATATAGATACTCCACACAAAGCAATGAGGATTTGAAGACAAGAAGGAAAAAAAAGTGAGAAGCGTAATAATACTAATAATGGAGGAGACGGTAAGGTACAATAAGAAGAGATCTTTCAGTTAAGGAAGAAGCAGCCACTTTTTATGAAGAAAGTAAAAGAAGGTTACAGCAGGATCGCCACTGGCTTCTATTCTGAGCCATATCTGATAACGTCTCTAGCCACTGTGTTGCACCATCTCTCGAACCTCAGCCAGGGAGTCGTGAAGGACCAACACAAGCCAGCCCTTTGCAGTTTTCTTTGATACCACGACACCATGTCATACACTGACCACCTCTTCGCTTCTTCCAACCAGTCCCAGAGTCGGCAAATAATGCACGACGTGGAATTCTCTGGGACGACATTCGGAGAACATGTCCAAGCCACCGAAGTCGGTGTTTCAAGATGGTGACAGCAATTGCATTATCGTCTCTGTGCCCGAACACACGATGCCGAGCCTCTGCATTACTGACATGGTGTTGCCACTGAATGTCAGCAATCCTTCGGAGACAGTGATGATCGAACACAGAGTTGTCTAACGTCCTCAACTCGGAGAGGCCAGGTTTCACAAACATAGAGCAAAACTGCTCTCACCGATGCGTTGTAGATCCGACCTTTTACAGCCAGACTAACATCACGAAGGCGCCAAAGATGGCCCAGATTGGCATAAGCCGCTCTGGCTTTCACTATACGTGCATTGATCTCATCACTCACACCCCCACCAGCACTTATGCAGCTACCCAGATACACGAACTTCTCTACTACTTCTATCTGCTCACCATCCAAAGTGAGTACAGGATTGGAATCCTGCCAGTCTTGTAGAAGTACTTTGCACTTCGGAGGTGCAAAGCACATACTGTAACTACGGACACTGATTGCCAACTGATTAAGTGCGGAGTGCATGCATTGGGCATTATCGCACAGTAAGACATTATCGGCCTCAAGCAGTTGTCCCTTGGGCACTGCGGTCACGCTCTCAGGTCGCTGAGACCGCCTCTAATCCAATTTCCTTTTCAGGTACCTCCAGAAGAACCCTTCCACGGTGTGGGCAACCGGGAAGTGATAACCGCCCTCATACCTCTAACAGCACCCAAGACCACTGTATTCATAATCAACCTTCCTCTTCGATTCCTATTATTCCTCCTACATTGACTTTCAACCCTAAACTTCCTCCTTCGGCTTCTTCCTCAAGTGTCACCATAGTCAACGATTCTAGTGTCAAAACTCTGTCCCAGGTCTACTGAAACCTCGCTCCAAACTACACATTGGAGCTTTCAACGTACGCACTCTATGTCAAATCGCTCAGCAGGCTTCCTTGGCTAAAACCCTAGAATCTCGTACTATTGATGTATGCTGTGTCTCTGAAACACGCATACAGGATCCCAGTGTGGTCATTCACTTGACCTCACCTCGGCAAAACGGAGAGCCAACGAGATACACCCTACGTGTATCTGGTGACCCGATGGCCAGTTCTCGTGGACTGGCAGGTGTAGGCATAGCACTAAGCATGAGGGCGGAACAAGCACTGCTAGAGTGGATCTCCGTCAACAGTCGTCTATGTGCTGTTCGGCTAAACGGCTCCGTAAGAACTCAGAAGGATAGGGACACACGTCGTTGCCTTTTTGTCGTTTCTGCCTACGCTCCCACTGTCTGCAGCTCAGATGATGTGAAAGATGAATTTTACAGAAAGTTATCTGAACTTCTTCAGAAAGCTAAACGCTCAGACATAGTACTCGTAGCAGGTGACTTTAATGCTCAGATAGGTAGCTTAAACCAAACAGAAAGGCATTTAGGTGGATATTTTAGCATTCCGGCACAGCGAACAGATAATGGTGACCGTCTGCTGCAACTGTGCTCAGACAATCGCTTATTTTTAGCAAACACAAATTTTAAGCATAAGGAGAGACATCGTCTAACATGGCGACCCCCTACACCAAACCAACGATGGACTCAAATAGACCATATTGCCATCAGTCATCGTTGGAGAGGATCGGTAGAAGATTGTCGCTCATTCTGGAGTACCTACTTGCACTCCGGCCACGCCCTAATACGAGCACGCATCTGCTTGCGCCTAACCGGACGCAAAAAAGCCACATTAAAAAGACCCATTAGAACTGAATTGAGTAACGAGAAAACCAAAGATAGGTTCCAAGAACAACTGAGTTCACACTTAGGTAGTTCTGAATACGAGGCTGACCCAGATGTTGCTTGGAAAGACATACAAGCAGCTGTAGAAGCAGCAGTGACATCTATTCGCAACTTAAACCACAGAGTTTCAAAGGACCAGTGGATTTCTTCAAAGTCTATCACACTGATGGATTCTCGCAAACTCGTCCCATCAGGTTCCGAACATGATGAAGAGCGACAACAAATCAGATCTAGGCTAAGAAAAAGTCTAAGAAACGACCGTGAGCAGTGGTGGGTAACGAAAGCAAAAGAGATGGAAAAGTCGGCGACTATAGGGAACACAAGACAGCTCTACAGACTAATAAAAGAAACTGGAATTAATAAGTCAAGTGTAAGTGAGATTATATCGGAAAAAGACGATACTCTCATCTGCTCCCAGTCCAGACGTTTAGAACGATGGGCTGAACATTTCAGAGAATAGTTCAGCTGGCCTTCAGCTACTCTACAACTACCCTCCATTCCCAGACAGCGTGAATGGAACATTGAAGGAGGTCCCCCAACTCTTGCTGAAGTTCAAAAGGCTATAGATAATCTGAAACGAGGAAGGGCTGCTGGTCCAGATGGACTGGCTCCAGAAGTCTTTAAGGATGGTGGTCCAATTTTAGCGATTAGGTTGACTAATATTTTAGCTAAGATCTGGGAGTTAGACGTTATCCCATCTGACTGGTCACAATAACTTATCGTCCCAATATATAAGAAAGGGTCAAAATCATCCCGTGACAACCACAGAGGGATTAGTTTAACTAATATAGTATCTAAAATACTGGCCTCAATAATTATCAAACGCCTAACTAAGACTCGTGAACTGCAAACACGAGAGAATCAGGCTGGCTTCAGACCTGGTCGTGGCTGCATCGACCACATATTCACCATTCGTCAGGTTCTAGAACACAGGCATACTTATCGGCGTCCGACAATGGTGGTCTTTCTTGACTTAAAAGCAGCATTTGACTCTGTAGATCGCGAGATTCTGTGGCAGTGTCTGTCATTGAAAGGCGTACCCCAGAAGTACATAAACCTTGTGAAGGCTGTTTACTCGAACACTACCAGTCGAGTGAGAGCTTATGGCGAACTGTCATCTAGTTTTGCAACCTCAAGTGGTGTCCGTCAAGGATGTCCACTTTCCCCATTTTTGTTTAACTTCATCATAGATCTACTGATGGAAATAACTTTTTCGTCGACTGAGTTCTCGGGTATTGATCTCCTTCCAGGAGGTCCATTTATCGACTTAGAATACGCAGATGACATAGTCTTGTTTGGTGAAGACGCTAACAAAATGCAGAATCTTCTGGTAGCACTGAGCAACAATGCCAGGATGTTTGGAATGCGCTTCTCTCCCTCTAAATGCAAGTTGTTGCTTCAGGACTGGTCTGCGTTAACACCTGAACTAAGGATAGGGAGTGAAGTAGTCGAACGCGTTGTATTATTTATTTATTTCAACACATAGATAATGGTACAAAGAGGCACCAAATACATATGCGCCACACAAATCTCATCCGATATGTGTGAGGGCTGTGATACTGCCCGGGTGCCCAAACCGAACGCGTTGACAACTTCACTTATCTTGGAAGTCTGATCAGCCCTAATGGGTTGGTATCGGACGAAATCTCAGCACGGATTCGAAAAGCTCGTTCGGCTTTTGCCAACTTACGTCACCTGTGGCGAAGGCGAGATATCCGTCTATCAATAAAAGGACGAGTATACTGCGCGGCAGTCCGTTCTGTTTTACTTTACGGTAGCGAAACATGGCCATTAAGAGTAGAAGACACTCGTAAGCTACTAGTATTTGACCACAGATGCCTAAGAAATATTGCTGGCGTCTGCTGGGACAACCGGGTAAGTAATAGTGAGGTTAGACGCAGGGTATTAGGAAAGGATGGTAAATCAGTTGATGGGGTTATGAATCTTCATCGACTGAAATGGTTGGGCCACGTGTTACGTATGCCTGAACACCGATTACCACGACGTGCAATGCTATCCGGTATTGGAAATGGTTGGAAGAAAGTTAGGGGCGGCTAAACCAAAACGTGGCATCAGTGCTTGAAGTCACTAACTTCTAGTCTGAGCCATGTTGGTAGATGCAGACTACTTGGTTGGGGTCCGCGTGACTATCGTAACGAATGGTTGGAGACTCTTGGTGACATGGCTCAGAATCGATCACAAAGGCGTCGGTTTATACACTCCCTGTCTTTCCTTAAACTATGAGATTAAAATCGCTCCATATCTTTCTTTCTACGAACCAATTCTTTCTGCTTGTACTATATCTCTATATGCAATCTTTCTCTTATATATTACCACCTTTTACCTAACCACTGTTATGAATCTGGTGTTCATCTTGTTGTGTTGATGCGGTATGGCAACCTGGATCGATGCACATATGTGCCTGGTCCTACGTTGTAGGTGACTGACTGCATCCTCATGGTTGCCGGTGACCAAAATTGGTTCACACACCATTTGTTCCCTCAGGATACTGGAGCACATGTGCACCATTGGTTTGAGATCCGGTTAAAGCGCCGAACATTCGCTTTTCGTCCTCTCATTTTCGTAAACAACACCGCCACGAGAATTCACTGAGTAGAGCTTCCATGGCAGAGGCTGCATAAGCTTGGCCGTGTGAGAGCATTTCGAGAGAGGTGGGCGGGTCCACCCCGCTCTTGGCCATACCAGGGCTTTTGGGTGCTAATGTTTATGGTTTACGTTCGTAAATCAAACACAGGTGATGCAGTTGGTTTACTTTTTTTTTATAAAAGCCTAAAAATAGATTAGTATGTTTCTATTTTATTGCACCTGCCAATAATATATGTTAAGTTCAGTTTAGAAAGTCTCCGATGTAGTTGCTTTGTTATGTGGTAAATTATGTATTTTCATCGATCCCAATCTGAACAGACCAAACAATCCAATGGCTGTTATATGTTGAGGTAAGGCAGAAAGTAAAATACAAATGTAGGCGGGTTTTAATGAGTAATTAAATAATTCATCTAGCTAGGGTCACCGCCCATACATTATGTCACTAAGTTTCCAAGGTGAAGTTTTATTGGTACTGTGGTTTTCTTAATTAAGATGGAATCACGTTACATGAATTGCCTTGAATTTTAGAAGAATTTACTGTCCTGTCTCAATTTTTTATCGTAGTCAGATGATGATGTTTTGAATACCAGGTGGTTTTTTAAGACTATTTATTGCTAATATGTGATATCATGTTTTTTTTCGATGGATATTCTCCACATATTCCTACAATGTATTTCTAATTTCTGCTTTTAATCGGTTATTATTGTCAAATTTATAGGCACTTCTTGAATAATTTCATCGATTTATTATGTATTACTCGTAAAGCGATGTGATTTGAAGTGCATAGGTTAATATTATGCCAGTGTGATGCAATTAATGAGTTATAAATTTGAGTGAAATATCTGCATTATCTACCATAATTCAAAATTGAAGCGTAAATATTTTTATTTATTTGCTTTTCAGAGGAATACGCGTTTCAGACGTGATGGTGTGACCTGAACATATTGTCTATCCAGTCGTCTGTTACATATATATATATAGCCTTCAACCTGTTTTTTCTATTTAGGCTATCATCAGATGTTTTTTACATCTCATTATGCGTACGCTTGTATAATATGTTTTAAATAGTCTGTGCTCGTTTATTGTAATTATTTAGAGCTCAATGTTCTTGCTTGTTCACACAACTTAATTAACCATATACCGTGAATTCGGCGAGAAATTTCAATCTTTTTACTAGTATGATGAATTGTTTATTATGTGCAATATAAATTTCTTCTTTTCCAATCTATCTCTCTAAAATATACATTTTAACTGTAAGCAGTTAGAGGATTGTGTCTCTCTACTCCTTTATTAAACTTTAATTCATATCTCTGGACATTTTCATAGGATATTTATATACATCTCTCTGAACAATATCTTTTCACTGAGGAACATCAAGTTTGATCACTTACGTGAATTTCATGTCTCTTTGGATGTTTTCGTTTCTTAATTTTTATCCATCTTTTTATCATATCAAGTGTTGCAATATCTTATTATTTGTTTTTAGTATGATAAAACACGTAAATATAAATAGCATGTTTTTTCATTATCGTTTTGTTTTACCTAATTCTATTTCTACTTTCCCATATGTATAAAAGCACTAAATTGTACAATGAAATTTTCTTTTCTTCCTGTTATTCTTCGTGTCAGTCCTTTTAATTTACTTATGGCGTTCAAATAGAATGCTTCATAGAGAGTTTGGATTTTTCTTTTGACAATAATTTGTTTTTCTTCATCTTCGTTCTCAATGTATGATGTTAAAAATAACAAGTTGTTCGAAGTCATTGTTTTTTGGTTTCATTCATCTATAAACCTATTTATCTTTGTGATGGCTTGATGGAATCCTGGTGAGAGTTATTTTTGGTTCCTTATAAATGAAGTAATTCAATCATTCGACTCCATAAAAAACTATCGATTTTAACCCCATATAAGCTCATTTACCGGTTTTCTTTCATCAAGATGTTTGTTTTTGACCGAATAATGCCGTGTGGTTGGCAAGTATGAATTGGATTATACTTTTAGCTGTAACTCCACGCAACGCTTCACTAATTAAAACACTTGCATATAAAGCATGTTTCTTATCGTTTAAGTATCTAGTGCGCCAAATATTTTACAAAAGTTTATATGTGTTTTGATTCTTTATGATAAACATTCTTAAACAATTGATAAGTTCTCTTATCTCTGTGGATATTTGACATTGTTTATGAAGATGTTAGATTTCTTATATCGTAAGACAGCTGCATATGACGTACACCAGATTTACCATGTGTTATATTAAATACTCTTGTATACTTAATAAAATAGGATTTTGTTCAAATAAGGCGTCCTTCACATTCTCTACACAGAAATCGAAGCATCTAAACGTTGTGGTAAATTTGTTCAAAATCAGGGACGTGACACGGAGATTCAAGTTTTCTCCAAAGGATATGGAACTTCTCAAACGTTCGTTGTAAAATCATACAGTTTATAAAGTAACTGAGCTTTAATTATATATGCCTGTAAAGTTAAACTTTCCGTAAGCGTAACTACTAAATAAATACAGTTCCTGAAGAATTTATAGTTTAATAGTGTTAATGACATAAAGACATAAAGGTAATTTCCATAGACATAAAGAGTTCATCATTTCTTGGGCAAAGCTTGCGTAAGGACCGAGAAGCCTGGTGGTCGGAGCGCGCTAATGAGCTGAAAGTAGCAGCTGCATCTGGTGATTACCGCAAGCTTTTCCAACTCATCCGAGCCACTGGCAGCAGGAAGCCTGGTGTGAGCGAAACAATCTGTGAGGATGACGTAACGCCAATCACTAACATCCATCGACGTCTTGGACGATGGGCAGAATTTTTCGAAGAGCAGTTCAACTGGCCTGCTGGTTCGGCAACATCGGTCACACTGTCCTGCCCTCTATGGCCGGTGACAACTGATCCACCAAATGAGGAGAAAGTCCGCAAGGAACTCCAATTCTCGAAGCGCTACAAATCACCTGGCCCAGATGACTTACCTCCGGCTCTTCTTAAAGATGGTGGTGACTTTCTGACTAAGGAACTGACGACGTTGTTTACAAAGGTTTGGGAATTAGAGAGTGTACCAACGTCATGGAATGAGTCGATAGTTGTCCCTATCTTTAAAAAGGGTTCACGTCGTTCCTGTAACAACTATCGGGGGATAAGTCTACTTCCGATTGCGTCCAAGCTATTGGCTTCCGTCATACTTCGTAGGTTGTTCAAAACCCGAGAAAGATTGACTCGCGAGGAGCAGGCTGGGTTTCGTTCTGGTCGAGGATGTATTGATCATATCTTCACCCTCCGCCAAATGTTAGAACAGCGCCATACTTATCAAAGGCCAACAATCGTAGTGTTTCTTGACATCAGGGCTGCCTTCGATCCGTTGAACAGGACTGTTCTCTGGGATTGTCTATTGAAGAAGGGTGTGCCTGAGAAGTTTATTAACATCCTAAAAGCCCTATATAAAAACACCTCAGGCAGAGTGAGGGCATACAAGCACCATTCTCCATTGTTCCATTCGAGTAGTGGGGTTAAGCAGATTTGCCCAATCTCACTATTCCTCTTCAACTTTGCCATCGATGACATTCTGGAAACAGCTCTGTTGAATGTAAGTAATGGTGGTGTGGATCTGTTGCCTGGAGAAAGACTTCTCGACCTTGAGCATGCGGACGATAATGTCTTACTGTGCGATAATGCCCAAGGCATGCACTCCGCACTTAATCAGTTGGCAATCAGTGTCCGTAGGTATGGTATGTGCTTTGCACCTCCGAAGTGCAAAGTACTTCTACAAGACTGGCAGGATTCCAATCCTGTACTCACTTTGGATGGTGAGCAGATAGAAGTAGTAGAGAAGTTCGTGTATCTGGGTAGCTGCATAAGTGCTGGTGGGGGTGTGAGTGATGAGATCAATGCACGTATAGTGAAAGCCAGAGCGGCTTATGCCAATCTGGGCCATCTTTGGCGCCTTCGTGATGTTAGTCTGGCTGTAAAAGGTCGGATCTACAACGCATCGGTGAGAGCAGTTTTGCTCTATGTTTGTGAAACCTGGCCTCTCCGAGTTGAGGACGTTAGACAACTCTGTGTTCGATCATCACTGTCTCCGAAGGATTGCTGACATTCAGTGGCAACACCATGTCAGTAATGCAGAGGCTCGGCATCGTGTGTTCGGGCACAGAGACGATAATGCAATTGCTGTCACCATCTTGAAACACCGACTTCGGTGGCTTGGACATGTTCTCCGAATGTCGTCCCAGAGAATTCCACGTCGTGCATTATTTGCCGACTCTGGGACTGGTTGGAAGAAGCGAAGAGGTGGTCAGTGTATGACATGGTGTCGTGGTATCAAAGAAAACTGCAAAGGGCTGGCTTGTGTTGGTCCTTCACGACTCCCTGGCTGAGGTTCGAGAGATGGTGCAACACAGTGGCTGGAGACGTTATCAGATATGGCTCAGAATAGAAGCCAGTGGCGATCCTGCTGTAACCTTCTTTTACTTTCTTCATAAAAAGTGGTTGTGTCTCCCTTACTTGAAAGATTTCTTCTGATTGTACCTTTCTATTCCCTCGTTACTACCACACTACCTTACACTAATCTCTTCGTTATCGTTCTCTTTTTCTTTGTTGCTCCTTATTTTTTTTCTATCTCCCAATTTTCATTGTTTTGTGTGGCGCATATATGTTGGCGCTATCTTGTACCAATATTTATGTGTTCAAATAAATAAATAGTGTTATTGAATGTCTCAATCTTTCACCAAAAGCGACTTTGAGCACTAATTGTAACATATGTATGAAAAATTTATTGACAATGCTTATTCAGAAGAGATATTCAACATTCATTTTCAATATACACCATATATTTTGTACATCTTTCTCTTTTTATTTAAACCTGAATTAGTTTAAGTAGAAAAGTATGATTCAAAATTAATACTTCAAATAACATTCTTGTGTTTCCAAAACCACGTTGTAACTAAAACTAGTATTCTCTTTATTACTTAGGTGCAATTAACATAGACTTCATGTAAAGTATTTGATTTTTTTTTATTTGTCGTAACTGAATATAATAATTAGTTTGAGTTCATTAATATCATAATTTAACATTACTTTCATGAACAGATAAAACTAAACGTAGGGAATATTGTAGATAGTTATAACTTTGCTCACTTGAAAAGCATATGTGATCAATTATTTGAACTAAATGAAATGGTTTAATGTCTTACTCTCATATGCATAAACGAATGTCAGCCTAATTAATATTTTCTTTAATCTATCTCACGTGGTAGTTCATTGATTGTTTTAATTATTTGCGTCATCCAAAAATTATACATTCACTTGCAGAGATGCTAATGCTTCAAGTACATTACATGTTTATATGCAGCTTATTCAAGTAATTTTCTTGAAATCACATGTTTCCCCTATTCTTTTATTTTGCGCTTAGTTTCTAGGCTTTGAATGACCACTAGTATTTAAGTAAATGCTCACCACTTAGATGTGATATGACCTCGGAGTAACTTTTATCTACCAATCATGGGACCGTAATTTTTTTAAAAAAAAATGTTTTCTATTAACTAATTTTATTGTGTCACTATTTATTGCTCAACTTGTGCGTTTTCATTGCTTCCATTGTTTTTAATTGACTGGATTGGTTCATGTTCTTGTTTTAAATGTATTATTTTTGGTTTTAGAAATATAAAAATAGACAGCTACGTATTTCTAGTTAAACTGTTTTGGATATAGCTTTGCAAAGATTTTGTGTGCAACAGTTTGGAGAATATTTACGTAAAAATTATTTGTAGTGTAGTTGAGTACTACACAATTACGTTATCGATCCAACTGAGCATTTGGAATATTTTTCTTGTTAATATTAAATAACGAGTTTGTAGATCAATCACTATTACACATATTCTCTAGACTTCTACTTTTTATCACTACGTATTTTCTTTCACTTTCATTAAATCTTCAATACTGACATTCATTCGATTGATTTGAAGTTCCTCTTAGTTTTGTTAACATAAAACCATTTTTTCTTTTTCACTTCTCTTAACCTTCGTACTTATTCGCGAAAGGACGAGAATTTTGTACGACCACTATCTTCTGTTCTTCTATATTTTCCTAGTAGGCTCCTCGCTTTTGTCAAGGTTTAAGTTCCCTAAGTTTAGTCTGATTGTCATTCTGTTTTTTGATATAAAATTGCATGACGAAACCGGAGTAAAATAATAGTGAGTATTTTAGCAGCGGTTTGTCACTGTACGTTATCAAGTGTGAGAAAAAAGTTACGACGTTTATAAGTTCACCCCATTATAATGTTGTGTTTGAATAAACTAGTGATTCCTTTGTACTTGTTGAATGCTTGATTTCGAATTCCGAATACAGTACATTCGCTTGTGGTTATCTAGTACTTTCTGATCCGATTACGTTGTTTCTGGGATTCTTAGTTCATACTATAATTCAAATACTCCTAATTATAATTATCCGTTAGCTGCCATACCACAGTGTTATTGTATTTAATGAATGTATATATCAACCCTACTTTGAAGGAGAAGTTTCACATTTTAATGTATTAGGCACAATGTTGATCTGTGAATAAGTGACCCTTGGCAGTTTGTATTCATTCCAGTAAAATGCGGATTGGATTTGTGTACTGCAGTCATATGCTTATTTCATTCTTATACAATTCCTAGATATTATATTTTCAATGTTATTTCTATTTAAATACAATTCTTGGTGATTCTAGTACGAATTTCGATTTTAATCCTATTTAGTTATAAGGAGGTTTGATTCTGATTTCAACCTGATACTACTATTATTGTAATTCATTTTTGTACTTAGTCTATTAAGATTTACATGCAAAGGCGAGACTATAATGAAGGATTTAGTACTGAAATACCTAATAAATCATATTATGGATTATTCTCTGTTGACTACAACTCATACATACTGATCTACTATGGAGGAAGATGTTTATGGCACAGTTGTATATCCCTCCAAATCCTAATATCACTTGCATATAGCACAGCTTGAATGACTAGGTCATTAACAAACATTAAGCAATTGGTTGAGTATGAAATCCTGATATGCTCCGCTACTTATGGAAAATTGGTTATGCAAGGTAGTACGGCGTATGATTACTTGCGCTCTACCCGAAAGCCATTTTGATATCTACTTAGTAACATGAAGGCTTGAAAGTGATTGTGGCGAGCTAATTATCCCTCTTGATTAAATGTCAAGAACAGGTTAGCTGATTGAGAGAGTTATTCCAGTACTAATAAACAATATGACAAAATCTTTGCACGGATTCAAAAAGCTCGTTTGGATTTTGCCGACTCACGTCACCCATCCATTAATCAATTGAAGATCGAGTACAGGACGATGCACAACGCTAACTAGCCTGGTCGTGGCTGCACCGACTACATATTCACCATTCATCAGGTTCTAGAACACAGTCATTTTTATCGGCGTCCGACAACGGTGGTATTTCTTGACTTAAAACCAGCATGTGATTCTGTAGACCGAAAGGGTCTATGGCAGTGTCTGTCATTGAAAGGCGTACCTCAGAAGTACATAAACCTTGTGAAGGCTCTTTACTCGAACACTATTAATCGAGCTAGAGTTTTTGGCAAACTCATCTGCTTTTGCAACCTCAAGTGTTGTCCGTCAAGGCTGTCCACTTTCTCAATTTTCGTTTAACTTCATCATAGATCTACTGATGAAAATAACGCTCTCATAGACTGAATTTTCAGGCATTGATCTACTACCAGGAGGTCCACTTATCGACTTAGAATATGCAGATGACATAGTCCTGTTTGGTGAAGACGCAGATAAAATGCAGAGTTTTTTGATAGCACTGAGCAACAATGCCAGAATGTTTGGAATGCGCTTCTCTCCCTCTAAATGCAAGTTGTTACTTCAGGACTGGTCTGCATCAACACCTGAATTAGGGATAGGGAGTGAAGTAGTCGAATGCGTTGGCAACTCCATTTATCTTGGAAGTCTGATCAGCCCTAATGGGTTAGTGTCTGACGAAATCTCAGCACGGATTCGAAAAGCTCGTTTGGCTTCCGCCAACTTACGTCACCTATGGCGAAGGCGAGATATCCGTCTATCAATTAAGAGAGGAGTATACTGTGCAGCAGTTCGTTACGTTCTGGCTGCGAAATGTGGCCATTAAGAGTAGAAGATACTCGTAAGCTACTAGTATTTGACCACAGATGCCCTAAAAATATTGTTTGCATCTTCTGGCATCACCAAGTAAGTAATAGTGAGGTTAGACGCAGGGTATTCGAGAATGATTGTAAACCAGTTGATGAGATTGTGAATCTTCATCGACTGAGATGGTTGGGTCACGTGTTACGTATGTCTGAACACCGTTTACCATGACGCACAATGCTGACTAGTGTAGGGGATGGTTGAAAGAAAATTAGGAGCGGTCAAACCAAAACGTGGCATCAGTTCATGAAGTCACTAACTTCTGGTCTGAGCCATGTTGGTAGATACTACTAAACTACTTGGTTGGGATCCACGTGACTATCGTAACCAATGGTTAGAGACTCTAGGTGACATTGCTCAGAATGGATCACAGTGGCGTTGATGTATGCACTCCCTGTCTTCCCTTATACTTTGAGATTAAAATCGCTTCATATCTTTCTTTCTACAGACTAATTGTTTCTTCCTGTATTATATCCTTATACACAATCTTTTATATATTTCTACCATTGAACTAGGTACTTATATGGATTCGGTGTTCATCTTGTGCTAATGAGGTGTAGCAACTTGGATATATGCACATATGTGTCTGGTCTTACGTTATAGCTGACCGACTGACCGAAACTTTTAATGTCTTCATCGTATAGTTTATGCAATCATGTAGGCGATGTTCATCATTATCTCCTTCAGCTAAATAAGAAAATTCGTTGGTGTTTGAAATTGTCGAGATAAGCCAGTTCCAAAAAATAAATTTGTCCTGCAATTGTCGACATTAATGATGACCTATTTAGTTTTAAATAAAACAAGCAAGCTGAAGAGGACCGGTCACGAATCAGCACCAGATCATTATGAGGTATGTTTTATTAAGCACGTTCACCTATAATTAACTGCCTTAAAACAAACATCCCATATGTTGACAGCTTTCTAGGTATATCATCGATGTATTTCTGATTTGTCTGGATCCTGAATCTTCAGATTTCAAAGCTGTTATGGATAAAAGCTCTGTCAGAACATAAACGCAAGTGACTCTCGTGCAAGTCCTTGTCTTAGTTGCATTTGTCTAAACTGACCTTTTACACCCAATAGGTAGATTTCTTCCAACGTTAGAACAGATGAGGGAGGAAAAGTTGTGTATTGGACTACCTTGTGGTTTTTGGTAGCTTTACTTTCAAACCAAGTCGTGAGCCACACATCGTTCTCAAGTGAGGTCCAGTGTGTACACTTATTTGTGGAGTTCAACTAAAAGTGTTTCTGGAAAAACCAACAAGGTTTGCATCAACGATAAATACCAATGGAATTGTTTATTTCGGGGATCGTTTTACAGCCACACATAAACAAACTAAAGTGCAGTGCCCACCGAATCATCTGACAGATGAAAGGTGTTCAGTCTACCAGTATAATCTGAAAAATCTACTCGAACACTGTCCTAGTCAATTCTACAGTGGTTTTCATCTAAGGATCACCTTAGAAAATGTACTTCTAAAATTGCACCTTTTTTCCAAGTATCTATCAGAATTTATGGATGGAAATAAAT